CAAAAGTCCACAAATAATAAAAAAAAAAAAATCTTGATGGATGTTCAATTTGAAAATTAAAATACTGCAAATTATTTTGAAGAGTTAGAAGAAATTTTTGACTTAATTTTCGACAAAACGACCATCATTGTACTATTTTAATTTAATTTTTTTATTTTTGCAAATTTTTTTATTTTTAAAGCAATTTTTAAAGATTTGTATAAAAATTTAGTTAATCGATAGATTTCGCCCTAAAACGATAAAATTTACCAAATGCTTAAAAAAAAAATTTATTAATTTTTGCACAAATACTAAATAAATTATTTTAATTTTTATTTGGTTGATTTTCAATAAAATAAATAAATAAATATAAAATTGATTCGATCTCTTCTCTCTGTTCGAATTTTTTCATAAAGTTGTTTGTTTTATGTTTTATTTAATTTGAAAATTTGGTACTGTGTATACAGCATGAAATCTAATTTAGGAAAATAGGATTTTACTAGATTCATTTCGAAAAGGAAAATAAATTCCCTACTAAAACGCGTATTTTAAACCAACCAGCTGCAGAACCATTTCCACCACCACGTGCTCCACTGCCGCAGAATGCGGATCGACGTTTCCGTTGAAAGCATGTCTATAATAAAAATTTATATATTTTTTTAATATTTCTTAATATCATATTATTGTTTAATTATTAATATTATATTATTTTTAATATTATATTATTGTTATTTAATAATATTATGAAATAATATTATTGCTATTATAATATTAATAATATTAATATTCACATTTAGTATTTTATTAAATTTGTTTCTTTAAAAGAGTTATAAATTTATTTTGGATATTTTTCTTGAGAAAGTCCATCTATAAAGTAAATTATAAAATTCAAAAATGATAAAAATTCTTTATGTATTAATATTAATATTAATATTAATATTTTTACATATTAAATTATTAATTTGTATGAACTAAGTTAATAAAAATAAATTAATTAAAACAATATAATTAATAATATCTTTATATCTTAAAATTATTCAAATCCCATTCATTTCGATGTATTTTTTTTTTTTTTAATAACTTCATTCGAAAATCCGTTTAATCCGTTTTCTGCTATTATTTCATGCGACAAAATAAACGAGATCCATCCAGCTGATAGTAATTTAATTTTGCTTGCAATTCATTCATTTCATATATAATAAAGAATTTTAGACAATTAGAAAAATTGATAAGCACATTCAGCAACACCGTAACCCGAAATTTCATGGCCATATAATAAAGAAATGATGCTAATTTGTATGTTAATTTTAATGGAATAAATGAGGATATAACGATTTAAACGACTTAGATTATTAATTTTAGATTTTTTAGACTATTTTCCAGGTTTATTGTATAAGAGGAAAGGAAATTATATTTTAATATTTAATATTCGATGAATATATAAAGAATATCACAAGTTATAACGATAATTGCTGATACGCTCAAATGAAAATTCATTTAAATATGTAAGTAGTTAGCGTTTTAACACCTGGCTGGCTATTGGTTACTAAAGACAATTTCATGCGACAGTTTCGCTTGATAGTCATTTGGAGCTAAAAATACAACAAATACAACTGAGTGCTTTCCAGCATAACCTGAATTCTTAAATGATAAATTATTATTCCTATCGGCAGAGTTTCAAAACCTTCATGCTTTCAAGCGCAATGATTAAGCTATCCTTCCTTCTTGCATCTGAGAATTATTAATTTTGGCCGATAATAAAAAGTAATTGAATAATGTATTAAATAATATTGAAAACGAAGCAAAATGGCCTCTGGAATATTTTTTATTTTATACTTTTTTTAACTTTTTCACACCTTAAAATAAATTTGCTTTTGTGAGAAGTGACAATTTTTTAAAATTTTTTATTATTTGAAAATTAAATTCGATCAACAAAATCTGACCCCGTAATTCTTAGTTTATTAGGTCCAATTTTTAAATCTTTTAAATAAAGTTTGATTTTATTAAATTTAAAAAAATATCAAAGAAGGAGATTAAAAGATATTTCAAAAATTGCACCTTACGAAATGCATGAATGATTTTAATCAAGAAAAAAGAGATGAGATTGATAAGATATTTCATTTCAGATCATAAGATTTCAGTAATTAGGTGTAAAATCTCAAATATCTAAAAACATTTAAACTATTTGATAAATACCCACTTTATTTAAAATAATTTGCAAAAAACTAAAAATATTAGTTATTAATTGTATGATAATCCAAATGGTGTTGATAACGACTTGCGTTTTTAATTCTATCGACAAATAAACTTCCCTGAACAAAAAATTTGCCTAACCCGACAAAACAGCGAACAAAATCAGAAATGATGAGCGCTAATAGAATTATGAAGAAAAAAAACTGGATGAAAATCTAAAATGAAAATCTAACGTTAGAATTTAACTTATTATTTTCTTCAAATACCATATTTGAAAACTTTGAATTATTTTTGAAAAAAGATTTTTTAAAAAAATTTCACATAGAAATTCTCTATTAAAAATAATTAAAATAAAAAATGCTCAATATTATTTGTGAATGAAAATTTCATAATTATTTAAGAAAATAAATTTTAATTTTAGCTATTAAAAAAATTTCTTTATAAAACTTATGAACTTTCGAAAATAATAAAAAGATTTTCATGGCAAAAATGAGTTTTTTTTTAAATACAAACGCAATTATTCAACAAAATAATTCTTTCTTAAATAAAGAAAAGATGCTTAATCATTTTTTTTCCTTTCTAATTGCGTTCAGCATTTCAATTTTTGCTCACTAAAATTTTATCAACGAGTTCATTTAGCAAATGAAAATGCGTTAGACTTTGGGACTTTGGAATTGGGATTTTTCTATTCCTATCCTTCTAGAATACTGAAGTTCCATAGCGGAGCTCTGAAATGAAAGCAACAACCCACTAAGTTAGACTATCTAAAAGCTCGAACAGTTGTTAATTAATTAATTAAATTTATGTCAAAAAGAAAAAAAGAAATTATAAGGTGTTCTTGATTATTTTATTATATTTTTGATTGAATAAAATTATTCATTTTTTTAATAATATTTTTTTTATAAAATAAAATAAAAAGAATAAAAAAAGTAAAAAACCTATGAAAAAAATTCTTAGAAATTCTATAAAAGATTTTTATATGAAATTGAAAATTGATGATAAGCGGGAAGAGATTTATTTTGTTCGAAAATTCGATTATACTGGTAATTTACTTCTAGTTGAGAATTTATTCGAAGAGAATTTTTTCGACTCAAATAAAAACATCTCAAACATGACCGAAAACAATTTATTGAGCGACTTTTATCCAATATGATCCCTTAAAAAATTTCAAATAATTAGCCACATAAGAAACACAGAAAAAAAAAGGCTCTACAAAGTATAGAGGTATAGGAAAAATGGTAAAATTTTAAAAAAGGGACAATGAAAAAAATCGAAAAAGATAGATATTTTTGCAATATGTTTAGCAAATATCAAATCAAATTTAAATTATTTTTGTTATAAAAAATAAATCCGTTTTCTTACCTCCTGTAGGTGGTATGAATGATCCTCAATCTCGGGTCCTGAACCAGAGGCCTGGGAGCTTAGCACCTTTCTGGGCAGGGGTCTCTGATATTGTTCCTGGATTATGTTGGAGTTATTTTTTTATTGTAGGGTATCACAGCCAAGAGTGTTATTTCCACTGCTGGGACTATTTCATTCCCCACTCTTCTTTCATTTCTCTAGCTTATATTCTTTTTTGCTAATATTCTTTGGTATTGCTATATATATATATATATATATCACCAGTGCTAATTTCTGGTTCTTGTCTATTATCACGATGCGTGGTTGATTGGCTAACAGTTGTTTATCTGTTTGAATGAGGAAATCTCAGAGGATTTTCATTTATTATTCTCCACAATTTTCTGGGTGACTCATATTTGGTCTTGAAAGGCTCTAAACGATATATTGAGTAGATATTCTTAATAAGAATATTTATATATTCAATTAATTTAACTGACTTTTTAAAGAGAAAGAAGAACTAAGAAAGCTTTTTCTAGATATATATAAAATTCCCATATCATCTCCTCTGGGTGGTGTGTCCCACCTTCGGGACAATGTTTCTGGAACTCCCTCAACGTAAATGTTGCTGCATTATGTAATATCTTCCTCTAATAATTCCATTGTAGGTTTGATTCTAGTAATTGGCAGATGAATGCAATACATTTGAAAAAAACTTTTCTCTCACTCATTGTGGGTCATTATCCTTAACTTCGGGTCCTCCACCATGGGTCTAGGAGCTTGAGAGTTCTACGGAGTGGGTCTTAACTATTTCTAATAGTGCGTTCTTCTGGATAGAGGTTTTTGCCGTTGTTCCTGGGATCTCTTGAAGCTACTTTTCTAATTTAGAGGTCTCAGTCCCAAGTGCACCAATTATCACTGGGATCACATTGGCCTTTATTTTCCACATGAATGATATATAATATATATATAAAATAGAGAGAAGAATGACAAAATTTTTTCTTATTTTGACAGTTTATGATTGCGTTTCTTTCTTAGATAACCATGTTATCATCCACAAATTATTAAAAAATAGATGGCCTAGAAAGGATGGAAAAAAGAAAACATAAAGATTATGATATTTTTAATACAAATTTTATTCAATTCAATTTTATTATAGCAGCTAAAAATAGAGAATTGACGACTAATGACCATTGGTACCTCGAAGAGGATAATTAAATTACTTTTATTCACATTGTTTACCAAAAGATAAGCTTTATTCTTATTGTATATAGTAGATAATCGATGCGATTAATCCTTATGAATAGATGAAAAATTAAGCGAAGGAATGAATAGTAAAAATAAGTAAATTTAATTTTCCTTTATAATAAATAAGAAATTTCTAGAAAAGCTTTTAAGGTAATACTGTAATAAAGAGAGTTAAATAATAATTATTTAAAACAATAATTCAAATTTTATTTCAAAATTTATAGTGTAAATCTATACCTATATCAACCTTTATCAATCTTTCTCTCTCCCTCACTGTGATTAAAACACTGATAAGATAAGATACGCTCGATATAATTATATAAATGTTGATTGTTAAAATTACTTACTGCATCATCAAGTGTACCACAAGAATTACTAAGAATCGTTGGTGATGCTTGATTTCGATCATCAAAACTCTGGTGAAATGCATTTGATGCGAGTGTCCACTGTGGTCGTGTTGATGATCTAATTGTCTGTTCTACACCTTAAATCAATTCATGTTAATTTAATTTTTTTTTTTTTTAACTGATTTTTATTTTTATTCGGTATATATAGATTTTATATTGCATTTTTATTGCCGAATAACTAATTTTATTAAAGTTGAGAAATTTTCCTAAATACAACATTATAAATATAATATTATGAGTATAGTATTATAAATATAATATATTTTATTTTAAAAAATTAATCGAAAGTAATGTGATATGATATGATATGATAAAAAAAAGATATGATATTTCTGTAGCAATTATACATACCATTATGAACACTCGCATAAATTGCTGGCATATGTACGGGTGATTGCGAATTTCGACCAGATAAATTAGAAAAAGAACATTTCGATTTTGGTTGAAGCATTGTGGAAATCAATTTTTAATTAATCCTTAAAGAACAATAATACAATGCGAAAGGAAGGGCATAAAATAAAGAAATCGAATGAAAATTAATAAAAAAAAAATCTTAAAAAAAGAAAAGAAAATATGAATGATTAAATCCGCATGAGGTCGATTTTCTTTAGAAAAAAAAAAAAATTTTAAATAAAAATTAAAAGTAATAAAATCGTTGGAAAAAGAATATTTGTTAAAAAGATTTGATGTAACAATACGAATGGCTTAAATTTATTTCATTATTTTAGCTGAAGAAGATAAAACTTATCGTAGTTCGTATAAATTTTTTTTTTTCTTCTAAATGTACTCAACATTTCTGGTTCGCCTAGTTTCTACTGACTTGTTAAAGTTGGACAATTCTGTTCCGTCAATGAGTGGCACGACATAAGTTTAACGAGATCGCCAGTATATCTTTTTTGAAAATTTTTAGAAAAAAACGATCCATTTTTAATGGAAAAAGAATTCTAGGCTATGTGCGCTCCTGCGAAATACGCGCAATAATAACCCATGGAGCTAATCTACACCTCCCATCATCGTCATGCACACCTCTATTAAATCATTATTATTATCATTATTATTATTATTATTATTATTATTATTATTATTATTATTATTATTGTGAATTATTATTGCTAAAAATGAGTTTTTAGTCGAAAAAACAAATAACTTTTTTAAATCTAAAATAAAATATGTAATGAGTCGAAGCATTTAACTTTTTCGCTGATGAGCTTTTAAGTGACAAGTTTATTTAAATAAGATATATGATTATAGCTATACGTTATGGCTATGTTTATTAATGAAATAAAAATGAATAGTTAATTAATTAAATGAATAGTTAAAGAATTATATAATGCTGTAAGCAAACTTAATTTCATTAATGCATGTTTTTCATTTATTTATATTATCATAAATAGAGATAACATTATATATTATCATAAATAAAGATAAGTACTAATAAATATATTAATAAATATTAGAGAATCTTATAGGAATAGTTTCTTATTTTACGTCTTATGTTAGGATTTAAAAAATAATTGATATGGCTGATAAGGCTGATAAATGAGTATTTTCTATAAATCGAAGAAAATCATTTTTTGCGATATAGAAAAAAAAGTCCACAGAAAATCTAACACTTTAATTATTAATTATTAAATAAGTGTGTATAGACTATTAAAAAAAATTACCAGTTTTCCCAATATCACAGTTCATAGCTATTATTATTCTTGTGAAAGTTATTATTATTTCTTTAAAATTTATTTTAATTATTATTTTAAATTTTAAAAAACTAATAATTAAGTGAAAATATGAAATATGAGAAAAAAAATGTGTTAATGTTTTGAAAAATGTTTAATAAAATAACTTCTGCCATAAATGCATTATTTCTTTTGTTGATTTTGACAAATTATAAATAAAAATAAAATAAAAAAATAAGATTTCTTATTTAAAAAATTAATTATTCCCTTATCATATTGCTTATAATTTGCTATAAGCGATCAATCATCAATAATGTAATAAAATGCTTTCCCGACTTCTGTTTTTTTTTTGCTTTACACTGTTAATCCTAACCAAGAAATAGAAATTATAATATTTATCAAAGATATGAAAATCATGAACGATCGATGAACAAATCGGTTATTAAAATGATTTTAAGAGGAAGTGAGGGAGGAGGAGGGAGTGCTATTGAAGGATTTTTAGACCACATTGAGATAAATCGAGGTTTTTTGCAAAAATTTTTTGTGATTTTCATGATTTTTAAAAATATTTATAATATTTAAATAATATTTAATAATATTTAAATTATGCTTTCTCGAAAATAAAGATTATTTATTATTAAATTATTTTATTGTCAAATTGTTTAGAGGCATTAAATTTAGCAAAACAACTGCTTATATTTCAGTTTAGTTTAGTTTGGATCAATTCAATTGTGAAAACTTTGTAAAACTTTTGTTTTTTATAAAAATTTGACATTTACTAAAGAAAGTATGGTGATTAGCTAAATTTATATATATATATATATAATATATTCTATATATGCATATAAATAATATTAATACTAGTGGATCTCGGTGGCTCAGATAATTGTTACAGAGAAATGAGGCTTGGTTTCGAATCTACCAAAGCACCACTCTTTGTCGGCCGATAGGAATGGCTCAGTGGGTTATAGTCCAATTCGGAGCTGCGATGCTGAGGTTCTATTCCAAGCAGAAGTAAACCTACCCAAAAATCCGACTAATGTTGGCGACTCATCCGTACTTCTATCGAGAGGAAACTCCCTCCCTAACTCATTGTTGTTTTTCTAAACCGACAAGCCAGCGAAGCGAGTCTAACTAGTAATGGTGAGTGATGGTTAGAAAAAAAATTTAATTAATGCTGGTGAAATATCTTGCAAAATTCCATCGAAATTAAAGTAATACTGAATCATCACTGCATCATTAATAATTAATATTAATTTAGATTAATGTCTTGAATATTCTAAAAGGCCAATCATTGCTCATTTTTTATCATGTAAAATTCATTTCATACGGATAAATACAACGAAAAATATTTAATTGATTGAATGAATGAAACGCTCAAATAGCATAGCTAACGGCGAAATATTATGACCACTCAAAATTAGTTAAAATCCCCGATTTTCCTGAATTAGTACCAATCCAATCCTATTTGATCACTTTTCGTAACTTATCTCCAAACCAATAAAATTTTAAGTCCAAATAAAAAATCTTATGAAATCAGTTTTTATCTCATTAACAAATGTGATAAACGCAATAATTGTGATTGTATATACGAAACAGCTTGCAAACGGAAATCAACGAATATAATATATATGAAATAATATATAAAAATCATAGAATATCAAAAAACTGACTTCTCGTATGCCATTAAGCAATGTATATGCCTATAAGCATTCTCATTCTCGAATTTTGATATATTCTTTAAAATAATTAAAGTATAATTAGCTAATAAAAATATTATAAAATGTAAAATGTTATATTATTATACTATTAAAGTAGTATAAAATTATTATACTAAATTATAACAAAAATTGATAAAGTTGAAAAATTGATAAATTGATAATTTGATGGTACGTTAAACAAAGATATAAAACAATATAAAATAAAGATTGGATGGTGAGCGATCCGGTTGGTAATTAGGAGGATTTAAGGGGATAGAGGGGAGATTTCAAAAGAATTTAAGACCTATTTATTTCGTATATATCAAATATAATATTCTCTAACTATCATAAAAAAAATATAATATTCTCGACAACAATTTTATTATTTATAAGATTTGATGCAGCAATAAGAAACAATAGTGAGTGTTCTTTAAAAATTTACAACTAGATTTGAAGAGGATAAAATAATAAAAGAAGGTTGGGTCATTAATGGGTAACCAAATGGTTATAGCAAAAGAAAGAATAGAGCTTGATTTTTGAGGCATAAGAGAGCTATTTAAATGAATTTGAGGATTTTTTCATGAAATATGCTAAACTTTTGGAGAATATTAAAGGATATCTCCACAATGGCGATGCAAGCATTTTTTTTTTTTTTTTGAGGAGAGGGAGTGAGGGAATTTTCCAATTCATTAATTAAGTATTTTATTAGACGTGTATAATATAATGAATATTTGAATATTTATCAGAAAGAAATATCTTGAAGAATATGATAAATTTGATTTTCGAGAGGTGAACAAGCTGTTAGTTAAATTTATATGATATGCAGTATCTTTTTTTCTAAAATTCAAAATTCAGTAAGTATTACAAACATGGAACTTCGAAAAAATATTTGGCCTTTCTCATATTAATAAAATATTTGGCCAAAATTTAAACTAGTCTAGACGAAAATGAATTATTCAATTATAATTAATTATTATAAATTATTATAATCAATAGATCAATTTTTATTTATTAAGAATCGGATTTGAATGGAAGTGCATATATAAAATAATAAAATGATAAAGGAGTTCATGTTTAAAGATAAGATGAACCTGGTGATTAGCACTTAAGAAGTATTTTTTTTTTAATAATCCTCATTATTACTGGTTAAGCTCGTTCCGCTGGCTTATCGCAATATGTCTGGACAAATAACCCTTGACGAGAGAAATATAAGGTGAGTTGCCAGCATCACCCGGATTTTTGGACAGGTTTACTCTTGCGGGGAATAGATCCTCAGCACCGGCATTCAGAATTGAGCAACAACCCACTGAGCCATTTTGTACTTTAAGGGAATTAACTATAAATTAACTATAACACTCTTGAATCACGTTTCTAGTTCAAACATCAAATAATTTTTTTCATTACCCTATAATCGTATAAAAATTTAAATTGCTATTTTAATGTTAATTCGGTCAACCTAAAATGATTAATTTATAGTTATAAAAGTTTCTACGGTGAAAATTATAGATGATACATCGGAAATATTGAATTTTTAAGGAAATGAGAAAATCGACTTCCTAATGAAGTTTTATAATTTAATAATATTTTTGCAATGAATCAAAAAGTTATCAGCCGAATATCTCAATTTTAATACTTATTCCATATTTGAGAATTTTTTTTTCGCAAAAATATTTCAATTAATTAGCTGAAATTTTCGAATTGAATTTTTATAAAGAAAATAAAAATTTTGTTAAATTGGCTAATGATTTTTATTTTTTTTCCGCGAAAAAATTCTCATTGATTTTTCTTTCAGGGTTTTCCGATTTTTTACCCAGAAAAAGTTAGATTACTGATGAAGAAATAGAGACTTATCGCATAGAACAAGGGATCCACAGAAATCCAGGATAGGAATTAAGAATTAGTTTTGGTTAATTTTAAGATTTTTCGAATTTCTTATTATTATTAAAAAGCATTTCGATTCTTTAAATATTAAAAAATGAAATTCAATTGTAAAGACAAATCTAAAAAAGTATATAATGATTTACTAGATCACTTAAATGGAGACGGCGGCTAGATTAGGCGATAATAGGAAACTATTC